AGTGGAATTTGCTAGGTTGTATTAACTTTTTAAAGAACTGCCAAACTTTACTTCAAAATGGCTATACCATTTCATTCCCACCAGCAAAGTATAAGGTTTCCAGTTTCTCCATATTTTTTTCAACGTTTGGTATTATCTGTCTTTTTAATCATAGCCATTGTAAATGCTTTTGTGTTTTCAATTTACATTTCTCCAGGACTAATGATGTTGAACATCTTTCCGTGTGCTGTTGGCCGTTTATATATCTTCTTTGTTGACAAATCTGTTCATATCTATTGCCTGTTTTTTAATTGGGTTGTTTATCTTATTAAGTTGTAAGAGTTCTACATATATTTTTGATGCAAGTCCTTTTTCAGATACATGACATGTAATATTTTGTCTCAGTCTTTTCATTTTCTTAATTTTGCCTCTGGTAGCACAAAATTTAAAAGTTTTTATGGAGTCCATTTTATCTTTTTTTTTTTCTTGTATAGATTGTTCTTCTGGTGTCATGTCTAAGAAATCTTTGCCTAACCAAAGGTCACAAAGATTTTCTCTTGTGTTTTCATATAGAAATTTATCATTTTAACTCATATTTAGGACTATGATTTATTTTGAATTAATTATTGTGTATGGTGTAAGGTAAATTTTTTTTTTCCATATGTGGATATCCAGTTGTTCCAGCCATTTGTTGAAAATACTTTTCTGTTTCCCAATGAATTTTCTTAGCATTTTGTTACGGTAAATTTTGAAATGAGGTAGTGTAAGACCCACAACTTTGTTCTTTTTCAAAATGGTTTAGGCTATTCTTTTTTTTTTTTTTCCTTTTTGTCTTTTTTCGTGACCGGCAATGGATCGCAACCCTCAGTGTTGCGCCCGTACCGGACCGGGACCAGCAACGGGATCGCAATCCTCGGTGTTGCTCCAGCACCTCACTCAGCCAGTGAGTGGCCGGTCTGTATGTGGGATCCGAACCCTCGGCGGGAGTGCTACCGCGCTTCCCAAGTGGCGCACTGTAGCAGTGCGCCACCGGGCTGGCCCTACCTGTAATATTTTTAAGAAAATAGAATTCTACCAACAAAGACCTTGACAATATACTTGGTTAATTATGCCCAGAATTTTTTCCAATTAAAATGAGGCAGGGCCGGCCCCGTGGTGCACTCCGGAGAGTGCAGCGCTGGGAGCGCAGTGCTGCTCCCGCC